CATGACCACAGAGAGTAGTCGTCAACCAGAGTAACGACCGAGGCAGCTACGTGAAAACTCTGTTCCACAGGCACAGTACAGCTCCCATCTTGTTCCTCATCCCTCATATCCGACATAAGACAAGGATGTCACCCACGCACACCGTGTCGTCGTTGCAGATGAGGACACCCGAAATCTCTGCCTGACATTGTCTTCCATTCAGACCCTGCAATGCTCCAGGCGGACATCAAAACCAAATCTTTCAGTGGCTGCAGAAAACAATTGACGTGTCACAACATGAAAATTTCAATTACTCAGGTATGGTAAAACATGAGAAATTAAATCTTCATCAGAGTATCAAAACAAATTCGGCCCCAACAAAATAGAGCGAAACACCAACGTCAACGACCTGGGAGTGATTATGTCGGAGGATCTTCACCTCAAGGACATAACATTGTATCAATCGATCTGCTAGAAAAATGACAGGATGGATAATGAGAACCTTCAAAACTAGGGAGGGCCAAGCCCATATACACTCCTTCCGTCATTGTTCTAATCAAGGCGGTAATATTGGCTGAACTCTACAGCACCTGGTCAAGGCAGGTGAAATTGCCGACCTAGAAAATGTACAAGAACTTTCATAACGGCGCGCAATAACGGAGATAAAACACCTCAATTACTGGGAAGCGCTTGAGGTTTCAAAACTGTATTCCCTGGAACGCAGAGGGAGAGATAGATGATTAATATACACCGGAAAATCCTAGAGGGACTAGTACCGAACTTGCACACAAAATCACTCACTAACAAAGCAAAAGACTTGGCAGACGATGCACCATTCCCCCCAATGAAAAGCAGTGTGTCACTAGCTAACGTTAAGGTAGACCATACAATAAGTGTCAGGGGCCCGAACTGTTCAACTGCTCCCAGCACACATAAGGGGGATTACCCAACAGACCCCTGGCAGTCCTTCAAGTCTGCGCATGGACAAGCAGCAAAGTCAGTTCCTGATCACCGCCTGTGGCTCGTACGTTGGTTTGCGTGCACCAGCACAACAGCCTGGTTGATCAGGCCTGAGCCACCAGGAGCCTGGTCACAGACCGGGCCGCGGGGCGTTGACCCCCCGAAACTCTCTCCAGGAAAAACTCCAGGTAAGCTCCTCTTTTACATTCCTTTAGAACCCTTGCATACAGTTCATCAGGGCCTGGGGAGTGTTAGGTTTTAATTTATTCTATTTGCTAAGGACCAGTCAGGTGTGACCCGAATCGTGCACAGTTTATTATCGTCCTGTTCTACATAAATTATCATTACGGAATATCGCTGGTATCCTCCTGTGTAAAAACTGAGAGGAAGGTATGCGTTAAAATTTCTAAAAATTTCTACACATTTCCTTATCACTGTCAGTGAGCTGACCCGAGGAACTTTGAGTGGGCCTATCTTGTCCCTGATCTCACTTCTGTATACCTGAAAGAATCCTTTTTTGGTTAGTTCTTCGATCTCGCAACTTTAACCTCATAATCTCTTATTTGCTTTCTAATTCCTTTTTTATTTCTCTCTTTCACTGAATATATCGATTTCTTAATTGCCCCCTCTCCTCTTTTGATTTGCCTATATATGCCTCTCTTTTTGACCAATCATGTTATTGCTAATCTATTGTTCATCACCATTTAAGGACTTTTTGTTGATCTGATTTCCCTATTTGAAACATAATTTACTGAGCAGCTAGAATAGGCCCTGAAAGCATCATATCGGCAACCATCACCACCTAACCTGACCCTTAGTCAGGCCATTCCAGTGTCAGCCCACCTAAGTAATTTTTCAGTCCATGAAATCAGCCAAGCAAAGTCATGGACGGAGACTTGATTGCCATGATTAGGGAATTCCATGAGATATTAAAACTGAGTGATTTGTGATCACTTTCCCCAAGCTCATCATTAACCTCAAGATTATTAATTAGTGTTTCCCCCTACTGGCAAGAACCAATTCAAGAGTTTTTTCCCCTATTAGGCGCTTGTCCCAAACTGTTTTAAAAAACAATCCTGGATCGTAGTCAAGAAAGTCACCTGACTCTCTCAAATTTTCCTGTCAAATTGCTCAAAAAAGTCAATATGTCTATATTGAAATCCCGCCCTTACACAACATTTCGTATGTAGATGCCTTACGAATTCGTCCCATAGAAGTTTTACTGCACCCCTATCAAGATTTGGGCCCTGTAAATCACACTCAAAATTAGTTTTTCTCGGCCCTCGAGAAGCTGTAACCAACAGATCTGTGGCTGACGCTTCTAATTTAATATCTTGTCTATACACAACAATTTAAATTGTCTCTGGACTTACATTGGATCGCTACTCCACCACCTTTTCCTGTGTGACCTTGTCAGTGTGGAATAATTTATAGCTTTGTATGTGCATTCAGAGGTACATCCTCTATCTTTCAGATTGAGCCAGGTCTCTGTTATAGGCAATAATATCTATGTTCCTGCACTGCAATTAATCTAGCTCATCTATCTTTATTTCTTACACTCCTGCTATTATATATAAACCTTAAGGAAGCTAGTCCTTGCTGCCCTCATGCTGTCCCCCTTTTGCCTGACATATCTATTGTCCTTTATTTAAAAACTTCATGCTGAATGCCTTTATTACATTTAACTGTTTCAACCCTAGTGGTGCAACCTGCTGTTTCCGCACACACACCCAACCTCTATTCATCCATCAGTTTAAATCATAGGCATTCACCAAGGGCCTTCACATCGAGTCTGCAAGTGCTACCACCCCTGCCCCATAGAGATGTACCCCATCCCTTGCATACATATCATTGGGTTTGCCATAACAGTTGGTTCCAGTTGTCAATTAATGGGATTGCAAGTTCCTTGCAGTACTGACTAGCCAGCAATTACACCCATTCCCTAGACAAATCCATTCGTATTTCCTATCCCCATTCTAGGCAAGATCTACATATGATTTTGATCCCCTGCCCTTAGACTTAATGAAATCTATAGCTGACCTGTACTTACTATAAGCAGCTTTCTCTCCTACCCTTCCAAATACATTTCCACCAGCACTGAGACAGATTAATGGGGGCTTGTTCCCATTACCTGACATGATATTATCCGAGCCTGTTGACTATGTCCCCAACAACCAGCGCCAGGGAAGCACGCTCTATCTCTCATCTTCTAATTCCTATTACAAAAAACAACGTCAATATATCCTTCCTGAGAGTCATCAACACAAGAATGCGCTTACCTCCAATTAGCAGGGGCATAGTACCCTTACCTTCACTGGCCACTGAAGTACATTCATCCTGAAGAACAGAGAAGACGAGTTTCCTCTACCTTCAGATCTTCACTCTTAACTTTTCCCTTACTCTGATGGCGGCCCCTTTCCCATTACTGTGAACCACTCGCCACTTGTAGCAGTGCTGGGCCTGCAACCTCACTGGCGGTAGGCCGTATGCTACCTCCCCAACTACAGCATCCTCACAGCGAGAACAACTTAGACTGCACCCTCACTGCTAGAAGCCTCATTCCCCACAACTCCAGCCACCTCACACTCTCTCCCAGACCCATTGAGGTGGACCTTCAGCCTCCTAATTTTCCTCCTGGAGAAGCAAGACCTCCTCCTTAACTCTCCAACCTCAATTTTTAAAACACTGCAGAAGCAAGCCATGCTTTGTAACCGTCCAGGCTAATCCCCAAAGCAACTACTACAAAGACTAATTCACCGTTCCAGAGGAGACCGTACCCCATTAAGTCTCAGCTCAGCAGTAGGGATGTCTCTTGTGTTGCAGAATCTGTTCCAGATGCAATGCAGGAAGGTGACAGTGGATGCCCGCCGAGGCTTACTGCCTTGGATCATGATGTTTTAGCATACCACATTTTGTCCCCTCCCTTTACAAAGTCTTATTTTTATCCATGTTCACATGTATACATATGGTTTTATGTTGTGCACTGTGCCCTGTTCCTATGAGAGAGAAACCGAGTTTTTTTCAGTCAAGCATGGTCGAGGACGACCATGGGTAGGTGGCTGAGCGAAATATAGACAGTAAGCCTACATGGTAAGTTTTCCATAGTTTCCACCAGAGGGCAGGTCTCTGGGTGGGCATGCCCAGGCCTGCCTCACTCTCACTTGGTGACCGGTCATCCTAGAGTCAACACTCCACTCTTCTCTCCCTTGCAGGCATGGCTTTCTGGGTCAACCCAGGCACTTAAACTCGAGAGATGATGTAGAGAGTGATATTAAACACACTGCCTGTGTACCATGATCACAAACAAAGGAATGAAACCTCCTAAGCCTTATCATTGAACCCTTCTACCAAACACATACGTAATCATTTCATGATATGTAGGTGTCGGCCAGCATTGACATGCAGGTATAGTCCCACGCTAAGAACTTGTCATTCTTCTAAGGATAGATGGTGATCCCATCAAGGAAATTTGCTGGGTTGTGAGTATTGTGAGCTGCTAGAGATCGGGGCTCTCTCTCGGCTGGGCATCCAGCTGTAGCAAGGCTTCTCTTTATGATGTCGTTGGTTTCTTTGTGTCTTGCATGCCAACCCTTGGTTTTGGAACAGTTAAAGCCATGTAGACCATAATGTTCGGCTTGCGCATCGCCGCAAATATATGTATATTCCGTGTGAATTGGGGCAGCCAAGCAGAAAGCCACTGCAATATAGAGAGTCTTAGGGTCGAGGTGTGTTCCCATTGCCGAAATGGGAACTGTTTGGAGGACACGACATGAACATGTAAAAGTTCATTACCTTAGTAATTTGTTCGGCTATCAAAACTCTGGGGCCCAGATCCTGGACCCGTTATGTACCTCTGTAATCTTTTGACTACAGCTCACAGGATGGGTATGGGGTTCATAATAAACATATTAAACTATATTTTAAAATTTATATGAACATGACGTGAGAAAAATTGGTTTGTATAAGAAATGAAACAACAAAAGATGAATGGACGGTACTTTTTATGTAGGGTGAAAAAAAAAGAAGGAAGGTTTTAACAATCTTTTGACAATTGAATGTTTCAGTAGCAATATACTTTATTTTGGACTTGGTGGGCGGGAAAATAATCATAAGGCAAAGCCAATTTTTCCTAATGGGGTGGCGATATAGGTTGTGGAACCAATGGAGGCACCAAAGCCGAGGATGTTGAGGGAAGCGTGAGTTGTTCCCACAGAGATGCTGGTGTTGAGGTTGAGGTTGACCTCTGCCACCACCGGGCCAGCCGTCACTCCAGCCTTACAGAAACTGGCCTCGGCACCGGCGGCAGCACCTATGATGGGCGTGAGGGGAACATGAGCAAACTTTGCACCAACTCCAGCACAAGGACCTTCAGCATAAGCTCCAAATACAGTGAAATTAACTGGAAAAAGAGACAGAGAAATGAAGAAATTCTGAAGAGTGTCCAAATGGGGCGAAAAATCAGTTGGTTAGTCAACATTCATCAAATGAAAATCCGTTAAAAATCCTTCGCTGAGACACTGACGAAAACAAAATATAATAGACACATTGCATACTTCTTATTTCAACATATTTATAAGACAATGAAAAAGACTCATGTGCAACAGTTGGGTATTTATTGCTGAGACATTTTGCCTAAGTAGTAGACTTCTTCAGTCGGATACAGAGAATGTATTGTAGGCAGCAGGAGTACCTGGAATATAATTATAGGGTGTTCCAGGGGTCAACGCCCCCACGGCCCGGTCTGTAACTAGGCCTCGTGGTGGATCAGAGCATGATCAACTAGGCTGTTCCTGCCGTCCGCACGCAAAGTATTGTATGAATCACAGCCCAGCTGGTCAGGTACTGAAATTACATGTGTGTCCAGCTCCCTCTTGAAGACAGCCAGGGGTCTATTGGTAATCCCCCTTATGAATGTTGGTAGGCAGTTGAACAGTCTTTGGCCCTTGACATCTATTGTGTTGTGTGTCAGTGTACTCAAGACATCCCCTTGCTGTTAAGTGAGGGGATGTTGCACTGCCTGCCGAAGCTTTTGCTTTCATAGGGAGTGATTTCGTGTTCAGATTTGGAACTAGTCCCTCTAGGATTTTCCATGTGTAAATTATGATGTATCATTCTCGCCTGCGTTCCAAGGAGTACAGACCTCAAAGGACAACAAATGGTCCAAGTAACTGAGGTGCTTGGCTGGACTTATACGTGCAGTGAAAGTACTCTGTATATTTTCCAGATCTGTAATTCCGCTTGCTTAGAAAGAGGCCCGTTAGTGTGCAGCAATATTCCAGCCTAGAAAGAATCATCACTGACTTGGCATCCCTTGTTTTGAAGGTTCTTATTATCCATCCTATCATTTTCCTAGCAGAGGTGATAGTGATATTGTTATGACCTATGACAGTGAGATTCTCTGATAATATCACTTTCAAGTCTTTCACATTAGTTTTTCGCTCTATTGTGTAGTTAGAATTTGTTTTACACTCTGATCTAACTATTGTTATACTCCGATCTAGCTATTATTTCCTTAAATTTCCCATAGTAGAATAATTGAAATTTATCCTCGATGAACTTCATATTGTTTTCTGTGGCCCACTTGAATACTTGGTTAATATCCAACTGTAAATTTGCAGTGTCCTCGGTGAATGACACCGTCATGCGAATTCTCGTATCGTGGGCAGAGGAAGACGCTGCTGACGGTCTATAATTCTTTGCAATTGCTTTACTGCCACTTTTGTGGAGTCGGGCTGTATCTGTTGTCTTTATTGACTGTAGGACGACTCCCCGTATCTAGGTTCCCTCTTCACAACATACGTAAGGCACGCGAAAGGGGTTTCTTGCATTTCTTGATGAACACGAAGTTCAACGAGTTCCTGTGGCAGAGTTCATGGAATGTCGTTAATTGCTTTTTCAAAGTCCAGTTATGTTAGTGTTATCTCAGAAATTCCAAAAATATTTACTAAATTTTGAATCTTGGTCATAAAAAAATCATTTAGATTGTCGACCCTTAGTCTGATCAACGGCTCGCTAAACACTGAGTCATATTGGGACTTCAGTATCTCACTCATTTCTTTGTTGTCATCGGTGCAAGTTCCATCACGTTTAAGCAGGAGTCTAACACTGGATGTGGTTTTACGTCTTAGATTCGGCATATGAAAAAAATCTTTTGTTCCCTTTGATTTCATTTATTGCTTTAAGTTTTTTGTTTCCTGGGCACTGTATGATTCCTTTAACTTAAGTTCGATATTTTCTGTTTCTCTAGCCACTGACTCCAGGTAAGACACATAGGCAACAGTTAGGCAACTTTATTCCGAAACGTTTCGCCTACACAGTAGGCTTCTTCAGTCGAAAACAGAAAGTAGGCAGGAAATGTAGAGATGTGAAGACGATGTAATCAGTCCATCACCCTTGAAGTCGTAGAATTTGAGGTTGTCAGTCCCTCAGCCTGGAGAAGTTCTACTTTCTGTATTCGACTGAAGAAGCCTACTGTGTAGGCGAAACGTTTCGGAATAAAGTTGCCTAACTGTTGCCTATGTGTCTTACCTACCAACCTGTCGGTATTGTATACCATTTTGATGTTCACTGACTCCAGGTAGACTGGCGTCTTTGTTAAGCTCTGTGATGCTTCACCTTCGCCTGTATAGGGAGCATCTTTCTCTTTTTAGTTTACATCTCTTTTTTTTCCTTAGAGAAAGTGCCTTGATCATGCCGTAAGTGCCAGAGTTAGTCCTTTTTTAGGCACTGATTCGCATCCGTATTGTTTGGGATATCTTCCTGGTTAACCTCATCTCAATGGATATTCTTGTTCCTGAAGTTGACTTTGATAAAAGCTTCCTCATAACTGATGTTGTGCTGGTCAGGACAGTTACTCATACAAGTCTGAACTTCGATTAGGTTGTCATCCGAATTTATGGTCATTGATACTGTTATAAGTATTTCACCCCAGATTGTCATCATTAATGAAAATAAAGTCAAGTGTTTTTTTTCTAATCCTCACCTCCAGTCCTCCAGCCCTCACCTGGATGTTAGTAGACTGGTGTGGGTAGCATCCTGAGGACTCCAATTGAAATAAGGCAGCCTCTCTATGATGCACTGCCTTTCTTGGGCTATACTGGATCGCTAACCCTCTGGGATTAAAAATCCGAACAAAATCTTTATCTTATCTTGGTATCCATATTACGTTGTCAAATAATCTTTTGTCTGGGTCTCTGTGAAAGCCACAAACATTGCATCTTACTCTGTGAAGACTCCATTGATGAAAGGTATTTTGTTGTTGGTTGATGGCTTAAGCCCTGTATATCTGCAAATAACGTGTTACTTATTTGCTGGGCGCTTTATTTGTTAGCATTAATATCTGCTGTTCTGGAGTGGGGGGGGCACTGACTGAACCTCCACTCCAGCAAGGCACCGAGGTGGAGTGGGGGAGGTGCACTGACTGAACCTCCACTCCAGCAAGGCACCGAGGTGGAGTGGGGGAGGTGCACTGACTGAACCTCCACTCCAGCAAGGCACCGAGTTGGAGTGGGGGGTGAGGCACTGACTGAACCTCCACTCCAGCAAGGCACCGAGGTGGAGTGGGGGTGAGGCACTGACTGAACCTCCACTCCAGCAAGGCACCGAGGTGGAGTGGGGTGAGGCACTGACTGAACCTCCACTCCAGCAAGGCACCGAGGTGGAGTGGGGGGTGAGGCACTGACTGAACCTCCACTCCAGCAAGGCACCGAGGTGAGTGGGGGTGAGGCACTGACTGAACTCCACTCCAGCAAGGCACCGAGGTGAGTGGGGGAGTGAGGAAACTGACTGAACCTCCACTCCAGCAAGGCACCGAGGTGGAAGTGGGGGGAAGGCACTGACTGAACCTCCACTCCAGCAAGGCACCGAGGTGGAGTGGGGGGGAGGCACTGACTGAACCTCCATCCAGCAAGGCACCGAGGTGGAAGTGGGGGGTGTAGGCATGACTGAACCTCCACTCCAGCAAGGCACCGAGGTGGAGTGGGGGGAAGGCACTGACTGAACCTCCACTCCAGCAAGGCACCGAGGTGGAGTGGGGGTGATGCACTGACTGAACCTCCACTCCAGCAGGCACCGAGGTGGAGTGGGGGTGAGGCACTGATGAACCTCCACTCCAGCAAGGCACCGAGGTGGAGTGGGGGAAGCACTGACTGAACCTCCACTCCAGCAAGGCACCGAGGTGGAGTGGGGGGTGAGGCACTGACTGAACCTCCACTCCAGCAAGGCACCGAGGTGGAGTGGGGGGTGAGGCACTGACTGAACCTCCACTCCAGCAAGGCACCGAGGTGGTTCAGTATTTTTGTCATTTCCTGCCATTTTCTTCGACCCAACACTAAAAACTCTCTTTCTATTGAGTGGTTACAAATTACAATGATTTATTTCTCCAGGCTGAGGGACTGACCACCTCAAACTATTTATCCAAGGTTGATGGACTGATAACTTCATCTTTATCTCGCCACTGCTCCTGCTACCTACAATACATTCTCCTCTTCATTTGACTGAAGAAGTCTATCGCATAGGCCAACGTTTGAGTAATAAAGTTCCCAAGTGTTGCTCCTGTATGTTAGGTAAGACACATATGCAACAGTTAGGTATCTTTATTATGAAACGTTTCGCCTACACAGTAGGCTTCTTCAGTCGAGTACAGAAAAGTTGATAGAAGCAGAAGATACTTGAAGACGATGAAGAAGCCTACTGTGTAGGCGAAACGTTTCATAATAAAGATACCTAACTGTTGCATATGTGTCTTACCTAACAACCTGTCGGTATTTTATACCATTTTAATGTTGCTCCTGTATCTTATTCATCAACCTGTCAGTATTTTGTCCTATTTTCAACATATAAGATGCAGCTCACACTAAAAAAAAAAAAAGTCTGAAAAATGCAAACAAACATTCTGAGTTTAAGTTTACAGAAGTTACTGAACAAAAGTCTAAAACTACGTACTGTAAAATTGGGTAATTAGAGATTTGTGTATTTATACCTAATCGTTGTGCAAGACGATTGTGACAGAATCTCTACAACCACGGTGCTCTAAACACCACCTCCAAGGCCGAGGGACTGATTACCTCATCTTTTGTATATAGTTCTTCGTTTTTCTTATTATGTCCTAGAATCTGTATTGATAAAGCCACTGGATGGCGAAACGTTTACAATAAAGATAACCAGATGTTGCACAAGTGTCTTAACTTTCATACCTAATCGTACATAAATAACCCAGAGGAGCTTACGACGACGTTTCTGTCAGTGTGACTTTGTAAATGGTCCAAGTCTGACCGAAACGTCGTGGTAAGCTCCTCTCTTCTATGGGCAGGTTATTTGTGTATTGCTCCAGTCACGGTATTGTGCCTTCTTTTGTTATACCTTAACACCTCTCAAGACACCTGTAGATACCTACCTTCTGCTCTGCCGGCGGTGGCTCTAGCGAACACCCCGGCCTTGGCGACCCTTCCTTCTCCACTGTACCAGCCTCCCTGAGAGTACACCCCACCGTCAGCCTCTCGACAGTAAGCCTCCACGTCTATTTTATCAAACCTTTCCACCATGTTACAGATACTCAAGGCATCACAGTAGCTCCTTGAGCCTCGCCTCCCATACGTATTACTGTGTCGTCTTATTTTTGGAGGTTTCATGTTATAATCTTGATTCAACACTCGCTGTTAGAAAGTTGACGTAATGAATGTTGAATATGTTTAGCCCAAATGAATCTGAAAATGAAAACAAGAGAGTTAAAATTGTTCAAGCATCACACTTAAGAATGAAGGAGCACTGCAGCAGGCCTACTGGCCTATGCGAAGCAGGTCTAACTCACATCCGCCCACACCCAGTCGTGTATTTATTACCTGGAGTTTACCTGGACAGGGTTTCGGGGGTCAACGCCACAGCGGCCCGGTCTGAGACCAGGCCTCATGGTGGATCATGGTCTGATCAACCAGGCTGTTACTGTGGACCGCACGCAAGCTGACGTACGAACCACAGCCCGGTTGGTCGGGTACTGACTTTAGGTGCCTGTCCAGTGCCTTCTTGAAGACAGTCAGGGGTCTATTAAGAATATAAGAAAGAAGGAACACTGCAACAGGCCTACTGACCCATGCGGAGCAGGTCCATGTCCCCCCTCCCGGATTAGACCAATGACACTTCCCCCCGGATTAGCCCAATGGCCCACCCAGTCTGCTTTGGAGATTAGCGTGGACGGTTACAAAGCATGGCTTGCTTCTGCAGTGTTTTAAAAATTGAGGTTGGAGAGTTGAAGGAGGAGGTCTTGCTTCTCCAGGAGGAGATTAGGAGGCTGAAGGTCCACCTTAATGGGTCTGAGAGAGAGTGTGAGGTGGCTGGAGTTGTGGGGAATGAGGCTTCTAGCAGTGAGGTGCAGTCTGTCTCTCGCTGTGAGGAGGCTGTAGGTGGGGAGGTAGCAACGGCTACCAGCAGTGAGGTGCAGTCCAGCACCTGCTACAAGTGGCGAGTGGTAACCAGTAATGGGAGGAGAATCAGAATAAGGAAAGTTAAGAGTGAAGATCTGAAGGTAGGAAATCGCTTCTCTGTTCTTCAGGATGAATGTACTTCAGTGGCCAGTGAAGGTAAGGGCGCTACTGTCCCTGCTAACAGACGTAAGCGCATTCTTGTGGTTGGTGACTCTCAGGTAAGATATATTGACCATGCTTTTTGTAATAGGAATAAGGAGATGAGAGATAGAGTGCGCTTCCATGGAGCTGGTGTTGGGGACATAGTTAACAGGCTGGATAATATCATGTCAGGTAATGGGAACAAGCCCATTATCTGTCTCAGTGCTGGTGGAAATGATATTGGGAAGGGTAGGAGAGAAGAACTGCTAGATAAGTACAGGTCAGCTAAAGATTTCATTAAGTCTAAGGGAGGGATCCCAATCATATGTAGCATCTTGCCTAGAAGGGGAGTAGGAAATGAATGGTTGTCCAGGGCAATTGGTGTAAATTGCTGGCTAGACAGATACTGCAAGGAACTTGCAATCCCATTCATTGACAACTGGAACAACTTTTATGGCAAACATGATATGTATGCAAGGGATGGGGTACATCTCTCTGGGGCAGGGGTGGTAGCACTTGCAGACTCGATTGAGAAGGCCATTGGTGAAATGCCTATGATTTTAAACTGATAGAAGATAGAGGTATGGGTGTGTGTGGGAAACAAGCAGGTTGCAATACAAGGGTTGGAAACAGTAAATGTATAAAAGGCATTCAGCTTGAAGTTATAAATAAAGGCAATAGATCAGGTCAGCAAACAAAGGGGACACAGAGGGCAGCAAGGGACTAGCTCCCTTAAGGTTTACTATACTAATAGCAGGAGGGTAAGAAATAAGATAGATGAGCTAAGATTAATTGCAAGTGCAGGAAACATAGATATTATTGCTATAACAGAGACCTGGCTCAATCTGAAAGATAGAGAGATGCCCTCTGAATGTCACATACAAGGCTATAAATTATACCACACTGACAGGTCAACAGGAAGGTGGTGGAGTAGCGATGTATGTCAGAGACAATTTAAATGTTGTGTTAGACAAGATATAAAATTAGAAGCGTCGGCCACTGAATCTGTTTGGTTACAGCTTCTCAGAGGCAGAGAAAAACTAATTTTGGTGTGATTTACAGGCCCCAAATCTTGATAGGGAGTGCAGTAAACTTCTATGGGACGAAATTCGTAAAGCATCTACATACGAAAATGTTGTGCTAATGGGAGATTTCAACTATAGACATATTGACTGGAGCAATTTGACAGGAAATTTAGAGTCAAGTGACTTTCTTGATACGATCCAGGATTGTTTTTTAAAACAGTTTGTGACAGAGCCTACTAGGGGAAATAACCTCCTTGACTTGGTTCTTGCCAGTAGGGAAACACTAATTAATAATCTTGAGGTTAATGATGAGCTTGGGGAAAGTGATCACAAATCACTCAGTTTTAATATATCATGGAATTCCCCTAATAATGGCAATCAAGTCTCCGTCCCTGACTTTCGCTTGGCTGATTTCATAGGACTGAAAAATTACTTATGGTGGGCTGAACTGGAATGACCTGACTATGGGTCAGGTAGGTGGTGATGGTTGCCGATATGACTCTTTCCAGAGCATAGTTCTAGCTGCTCAGTCAAATTATGTTCCAAATAGGGAAATCAGATCAAACAAAAATGATCCTAAATGGATGAACAATAGATTAAAATATCTGATTGGTCAAAAGAGAGGCAAATATAGGCAAATCAAAAGAGGAGAGGTGCAATTAAGAAATCAATATATTCAGTTAAAGAGAGAAATAAAAAAGGGAATTAGAAAAGCAAAAAGAGATTATGAGGTTAAAGTTGCAAGAGAATCGAAGACTAACCCAAAAGGATTCTTTCCGGTATACAAAATAAGATCGGGGACAAAAGGGCCCCACTAAAAATTTTCCTCGGGCAGCTCACTGACAGTGAAAAAAAATGTGAGAATTTTTAACACTACTTCCTCTCAGTTTTTACACAGGGGGATACCAGGGAATTCCAGTAATGAAAAATTTATGTAGAACAGGACGATAATAAACGGGCACATTAGGGTCACAGTTTATTATTACAAAAGATAATTAAAACCCTAAAAAATCCCCACCCTGAGAACTTATGCAAGGGTTCTAAAGGAAGTGAAGGGGACTTAGAAAACCCTTTGGCTAATCTTTTAAACATATCACTCAAACTGGCAGGTGCCAGATAAGGGGAAAATACAAATGTGATACCTATTTTAAAAGCAGGACAGCCTTAGCTTAACTAAGACCAATAACCTAACCTCCATAGGGGGAATAATTTATGGATCAAAACGCCGAGATTTTATAGCCCCCTTTGAAAACTAATTAAATCAACGAATCCAGCATGGTTTTAAAAAGGGGCGTTCCGCCTTACAATTTATTAATTTTTTCACAAAGGTATTTGGGGAGGAGATCAGGGTAAGAATTAAATTTTTGGTAATGGACTTCAAAGGCTTTTGACGGGGTCCCACTTAGAGACTATTGAGGAAAATTTAAAGGCACATAGAATAGGGGAGAAATTTTTTCCTGGAAAGGCATTTCGACAAAAGGCAGCAAGAGTTTGCATAAAGGGAGAAATCAAGTGGGAAGCGTCACGAGCGGTTTTTCCACAGGGCAGTTTGGGCCCCCTCTGTTCCAAACTACATAAACGACAAAAATAAGGGCATAAAGAGCGACATCAGCAAGTTTGCCGATGACACCAAAATGGGCCGCGAATTCATTCGCGGGGACAAAGAGCACTCCAAAAATTTTTGAATAGACAAAGCAGGGGGTGGGAGAAGTGGCAAGCAGTTTAATATAGACAAAGCAAACTCTAAATGTTGACAGGCAATAAACCCTGCCACATATAAACTAAATAATGTGATCTTAAAATTACGGATTGGGAAAAAAATTTAGGGGGTTCTGGTTTGCATAATCTGAAACCAAACAACTGCTAATGTTCGCAAAAAAGCTAATAGAACCTTGGCTTCATATCAAAAAGCATAAAAATAGGGGTCCTCATTTTTTCAACTCTATACATCCCTTGGTTACCCATTTTTGTTATGCGCACATTTTGGTCACCGTATTACAGAATGGGGTATAAATGCTCTGGGAAAATGTCAAAGGGGGATGAAAAAGTTGATCCCATGTATCAGAAACCTTCCCTAAAGGACAACAAGGGGCCCCGAATCTGCACCTCTAAAAGACTAGAAATTTGGGGGGTATGATTGAGGTGTAAAAGGAAAACAGGGAAAAAATAAAGGGGGGGTAAATAGTGTGCTGAAAAAATCTAGCCAACAGGACTCGCAGCAATGGTTTTAAGTTTTAAAAATTTAGATTTAGGAAGGATATGGAAAGTACTGGTTTGGTAATAGAGTTGTATGAGTGGAACAAACCCCAATACAGTTAAGGCCGAACGTTGTGAGCTTTAAAAATGGTTGGATAAATACATAGTGGATGTGGGGGGTGTGATTGGACCTGATAGCTTGTGCTACCAGGTCGGTTTCCGTGTTCCTCCCTTAAGTCAAAGTGACCTACCTGACTGGGTTGGGTGCATTGTCTTTAAACCGGTAGGAACTTGGGCCTCCTCGCAGGGCCAGAGGCCTGCTGAGGTTCCTTCGTTCTTATGTTCTTTTCATCTCCACTCAAGGAGGACACGGCACCCGACCCAGCACACAAAATACAGGGCCAACTTCACCCACCCACACCCACTCAGTATTTAACCCAACCCATTTTTAAAAAAATACAAACGTTTTTGCCTCAATAACTGTACTCGGGAGGTTCCACTCATCCACAACTCTATTTCCAAACCCTGCTTTTCCTATACCTTCTGAAACTAATTTTTTTCCCAAATTTATACCATTGCTGCGGTCCTGTCTTGGGTGGAAATTTTCAGCACGCTATTTTTCATCCCCTTTATTTATTCCGTTTTCCATTAAAATATTGGGAATCCCCCTTTTATGCTAGGAGGGAATTGAACATCTTGGCCCCGGGGAAATTATTTTGTTGTCTCTCATGTACTCGGACGCCCCTGCTTTTCACGGGGAAGTTGCATCTCCCCGCTACTTATTTTAAAATTACGCAAGGTTTTAGCTTCAATGGCGGTACTTGGGAGTTTGCTCCACTTATCCACAACTCTATTATCAAACCAGTGCTTTCCTATATCTTTTTTTGAATCTAAATTTTTCCAGCTTGAAACCCTTCCC